GGGGGGGGGGGGGGGTCGTAGAAAAGCCATTGACCAATTTAGCTTCAAATAACTTTCTGAAATTTATAGCCCTCCAACGTTTACATAATGCCTAATGTTTACAGTCCGCCTATACATAAAGTGCTCGTAAGTTACACAAATTCTTAATTGATTACAAACGAATCCGGTGTTTGGTAGACCTACTCAAGATAAGATAGTGGAACATTACAAAGGTCACGAACCTTCTAAATCAGACCCATTGCGGATTCCTACTCCCACCAGAAGTTAATATAACTACAAGATAATGTAACGTGTTTATTTCTATAATAATATAATGTATATTGAGATACAGATATATAGAGAGACGACTATCATCAATCCAGAAAGAGGTGGTTTTAGTTAAACCTTAAGAAAGTCCTTAGTCCAAAACGCATAACCACATATTACAACAACGAGTTTCACCATATCTCGGAGCCAAGAAAGGATTTGTCAACCGCTACGGCATTTTCCTTTAGTAACGGTAGTAGATTAACGATAATATCGTAATATCGAACCTTGCTAAAGGAACATGCCGCTACGGATTCTATTTTATTAACCGTATGGATTATCTCCTCGTGGGTTCAGTTTTTGATGTGTTTATGGTCATGTGTATCCTGATTACAATCGATTGTCCGATATTTACTTAACCAATCATATTACTTCATCCTTTTCAGTTTAGATGTGTTACAACCCTGATACCAATGTTGTATGATCGGATTAGCTCCCAAAAACTCTAGAACTTTTAGACCGTTGACCGGTGAAATGTGAAGAGCTCGTTGTGCTCTTGATTAAATTAGTGCTGTAAGCCAAATGTCTATTTGTTTTAGCATTTGGTTTTGGAATATCAGGATTTCAAACTTTGTATTAGGAACTAAATAATGAGTCAAGTTGAAGTCATAGGTGTCTATGCTCGAAAACCGTCATTCAGAAACAATGTCAGGTTATGGATGGCTTTCGTGGGCCTCGACGCTCTGGAGAAATTTGTTAAAAGTGTTTGAGTGGAAATTCTTTCATTGGGATGTGAACAGATCTGTGTAATTTATGTGACAACTTAATATATTTCAGAAAAACTATTTTTTGTAGGCTTATTCTCATATCAAACCCAGGGATCTCATTCTCAAACTCGAACTAATTATGGTTCTAGTGTTTGATTGGTCACATCATTTAAGTCAAATTTAATATCCAATCAGAATATTATTGTATTACCAAGCTCCTTGGATCTTTAGGTAAAATTATCATTTTAGATTTATTATCATTTCCAATTAGAATACTGTATTACCGACTGAAGCTAAGTTTTGAGAACGAGACCCCGGGCGTTGAAAATAGTATATAATAGATAGATATTAGTATTTTTAAAAATATAATATATGACTTCACAGGACACATCTCGGCATGTTGATCTGTTTTCAGCGAGACGGGAAAAACTTTCTCCAAAACCTTGAATCATCCTGTAAGTAAACGAAAATCCAACATTATTGGTATCACTGAGCATGAAGTCTGTGACATACGATATTCTTGGCAGAGTATTGTTTTCTTTTCACTAAATCTAATTGGTCGAGGCAGAAGTGCTCGACCAATGATAATTAAACGAAATATTGCTTGAAAGTTATTAAGTGGAGATTACATTTGTCATTCGCTATCACATACCTGATAAGAAACGAGAACGCTGCTTGGTCAAAGTGAATATGAAGAGACACACAGGGGGAGGTTATCGGTTTAACATTGAAGACACAGATACCATGGCTAAGTATTGCGGGATGTGGGTTGATGAGGAACAGGACCTGTTGCTCGAACTATTTCGGGTCAACGTTGTGGTCTGATTGCGTTAGACGAGTTGCGTTAATAACATAATTTACTATTGCTATTAATAATAATAATATGAGCACTTATACATTCTAGCGTAAGTACTTATAAAATTAGTCTATGGCCTATAGACGTGATGCCAATGGCTTAAGTGCACGTTTGGTTATTTATCCAACCTTTATATTGTTTTAAATATAAACGTAACAGTACATCGTTAAATATTTAAATATCACGTTTTCACCTTCTACAAGTTATTAATGAAAATAGATATTAGTTTAAGTTATTGACATCATCACGTGATTGATTTCAAATGCGCCAATTATTGGCTAAAAGATGACTGATCGTCTTATTTAGCTCATTTATTGAAGAGCTGTTAAAGGGGGATAACAAACAGTGTTTGACGCGAGTCGATAAAGCGACCATAATCCCGTGAACATCAAAACGGAAATCGATAGCGCGTACAATAAGATGATATAATTACTTCTGAAAACATTATCAAAGATATCTTCCACGACTTTTATTACAGTTTAAGTGATTAACATTAGAAAACATCCATTGCAATTTACGACACCCCTGAGTCAAAGAGGATTTCATTGAATTTAGAACTTTCTCAATAAACATGGATAAGAGAAGCTAATATAGAAAAACCGACTTGCACTCTTGGCTATTGTATTGACGTGACTACCATTTAAATTTCTTTTGATCACAGGCCTGTGATATTATGTGGGGTGGAGGCGGATGTTGCATGTCCTGATGACCCTGCTGAAAATGGGTACGTTTATCAGGTAACAAGAGAATTGGCCAGCTGTTAGACAGAAACCTCGCAAACCAACATTATTCTTTTAAATAATGGTTGTTTCTAGTTTCTGTGTTTATACCATAGTTGCCCTTCTACCATGAAGGCTGTGTTTACACAGAATTATTTGTCATTGAATATTCTATAACGGTCTACGTAACGATGTTTTTATCAGCACAACAGTTGTTTAAGGGGTTATAAAGAGGTGTTCTGTTTTTTTTATTTGTAGCGAAGCCACTTAAAATGTCTGTGGTTTCTTTAATTACAGAAATGCTTAACCGTGTCCTTGCAAAAATTATATTTAAGAAAGCAACGTCATAAAACGCTTATAGTTTAAGTGGAATTGCAAGACATCTGATTGAAAATAGCTATAAGTGTCTCCAACACACACGAACAGTCTAGAAAACCTCTTTAAGTTCATAAAATTTAACTAACCGTTGAGTATGGTGGCGAGGGTTGTTTATTGTTCATTTTGCTTATTAGATATCTTAATCCTTTAAGAAACTGTAAAGAATCGTCGTCCTCGGATGTCCAATTATCTTCTAAACTAGGCACTCTGTAATAAAAAATCGAGGTTTGAAGGATTTGATGCAGCGTTGTGTTTACTCAATCTACCGAGCTGTATATGGGTACGGATAAGCTTTGAAAAATTAATGCTAAATGGTTTGGCAAAGGATCAGCTGGTAGATAAGTGTTTCCAGAACCTACGTTACCCTTGTAAAATATGGTTGTTTTTTTCTTTCTTTTGAATGTTTGTTGTTTCATTATTACTGATACGTTATCGTAGTAGGTGTGTTTCACTTGTCCATAAATTTCTGGCTAACACAAACTTTGGTCCCTGGTCACTGTTTCAGGTTGTTTTAACGCGGACCGGTGATTTCAAATTATTACCTCCACACTGAGCCATCTAGTATTCCTCACATGAGATACATATCTCTGTTGACTTTACTACCAGCCAGTTGCATTTTTTCAAGATATGGACATGGCACCACGAGCGTAAGAATGGAAGAAGGTTAATATGAGACCTGGAGATTGAGACCAATGATTAAGCATTTACCAGAATAATACTTACATTTTTGACTGTAATCTTTGATGTGAAGGAATGATTGGGAAATTATAATCAGTGTTTCTCTTGGCAGCTACTCCACGACATTTTGGTGCGAAAACAAACTTCCTGCAATAGGAAAATAAATTTGTACTCAAGAGAACTGTCCCTTAAATGCGAATACAATGAAGAATCACATATGCAAACACAATCGATTAGTGCAGTCAAGATCTTTCACTGCAGCAAGAAGGTTCGAATTAGGAGATCATGGAATGTAAATTGATAAGCTACATAGATTTAGGGACGTGGATCTAGGTCAATACGTCTTTGAGCTGTGAGATGACCTTGTCCCTTTCGCTGGCCCCTACGGTTAATTCATGCTATAAGATCTTAAAACGATTGCTATTGTGTAAGGTATATTTTAGTTTTGAAAGCGCATTTCTGTGTCACTGTAGAGTCCCTAAAAGATTACCCTCATATTCAAAATTCCATGGGTATTCCAGGTGTTGTAATTGTATTGACATGGCTTTATGTCCTACGAAAGAGAAAGTACTGGTATAGGTCACCGACAGGGATCGACAACATGACCACAACACAATGCTCTACTTACGTGCAATCTAACTTTCTGGAATCTGTTATTAGGACTAAAACTATGAGGAGTAACCCGAAAATTGAAAACACCTTTTCTGCCATCGTCCGATTCATGATCTCTGAAAAATATATAAAAAAAACTTTTTAAATTCTGTAATGAAGGTGTCCGTGACTAATTTGCGATTTTATTTTTCAGTTTTCATCACCTGGATTTTCTAGTGATGATTCTATTTTAACTGACCATAAGATCGATCAAGGCTGTATATATTTGACAGGCCACAAGAACAGCACTTAATTTTATAAATGTACCCTTCCAATTACACCTCTTTAGGGAGCCACAAGGTCTTTCTCAGTTGAGATACGTGTATTTGTTGACGTCCAGCTGGTGGCATTTCTCAAGGTATTAATTCTTTGACATGACACCCCGAGGATAAGAAAGGAAGAAAAGTGTAAACTAAAAATTGAGACCAATTATTGTCATGAAGTTATGAAAGAAAGTATACGTCATATCCAGCCTTCTCATTTTGAGCTCAGATGTGATTAAGACTACGTGTTGAAGCTCCTAAAGTGAGAGACAAAAGATTCTGTAGATGCTATAAGAAGTGAGATAATGATATGGAGAAGGTTTGACTGGAAGTTGGCATGATTTTTCACTAGTTAGGGTTAATTGCCAGTATTCCTGCTATATAACCTTCAGGTCCTGCTGCTTTTCACAGTCTATGATATCGGTTAACTAGAAGCAGACGTTAACTTGTCATCCACCAACCATTCAAAATGGATTTAAAACAGTAGTTATTATTTTAGGGACTCTACATGATGGAGTTGATTCTTTTAATATGAATACATGTAATCCAAGGTACGTATAATTCTCATCCGAGTCCTTTTATATTATATAGTCCGCGCAAAAATTCTATATTCGTATACTAAAAGTACCAGCTAGGTTCAATACCAATCAGAACGTACAATGGATTGGGCTGTGGGGGAGGCAGTATTCAGATTGGGGTATGGTAACCTTGAAGCTCAGAATATATAGTGCAAAATCTGTAATTTTTACAAATCGGAAGGTGCTTTTTGATTAAAGGTGGAGGAGGTAGCTGCATCTACGACTAGTGCAATTATTACAGTGGCACAACTACCACGGGCCCTCACCTCCATAGAGGCCCCAACCACCATAAAAAAAATGCAGGAGAGCATATGTTTAAAAGAAAATCACGGGGGATAGGCCCAAACCCACTTGAGTCCACAGATCCCCACTGATCTAGTTGAGCCTTGCAGTGATTTTAATTAGTATGTTCAATGAAAGTGTATTCGGTATCACAGACTTGTATACGATACACTCAATTGTTTGACAGTTGTGAAATGTGACCTACTGAGGCTTTAAGTTAGTTTCTAAGTGGTACCATTAATGAAATTGATACGTTGAAAAGATGATATCAAGAGTAACTGTCGATTTATTTGGCTTGTATATAACTACCCATAGACCAATAGACAAGACCACAGTGCCAATCCATAGAATGGAGGACACTGTCAACAAAATGCAGGAAAAATTAAGAGCACTATTTGCAAAAGGCCATGAATATTGGTGATTGGTCAATAAATGACAGGCATTGTGTATTTAATTCGTTTATCTATTTACCGAGGCTGCAGGCGAAATTAACTAGCTGTATTTTACTCGTGTATTTAATGTTCGACAATTTATGATGAATTCAATCTGTCAACAGTCCATCAAATTCATCGATCTTAAAGGAATTCTTAATCAACATTCAATTTTTGATACACATTGGCACCTTTTGATATGCGTTGTTGATATTTTTTGGAGGGGGAGGGGGCGTTATTTGGATTGATAACATATATATGACGTCATATACATGCAGGGGTCTTGAGCAATTCCTGGAATGCTCTTGTAAATCATTTCATTTGACATGTCAAAAGGGAAAAATCAGCAAATAAACATTAAAGATAAAATCAATAAAAAGAAACCGATCACAAAAAAAAAAATTTAAATCAGGAAAAAATGCTACATTGAATCATTCAAGCTATCGACTGTTGAAATATGTAATTAAGCGAATCATTGCCTTTACACTGTAAGTAAGCGATCAGGCAGCTATTTATGTACTGAAATGTGATCTGAACAATTATTCAATCATTTTGAGATGTTAGTTAGAAATTGGTTCACGAGTGGTCACGTGGTATGTGTTGGCGTTATGCAAGTTTAAATAATTCTAAAAATACAATGCACCGAGACAAGATATCTGAATGACAGAGAATATGCACTAGCAGACCCACTATGACAAATTGATGACTGGTTTTTAATACATTTCATGTTACATAAATAAATCAGATCAGTCAATTTGAAAATGGGGGTTGAATATATTTTTGTACTCAATCAACCTTGACCAGGGTCGTAACTAGAAAATGCCTGATGGGGAGGGGCCCGGGTAGGGTTGCAACAATGAGAAATACATGAAAACATAAACAATTGAAAAAGTGTCCATTGCACAATTTGGGGGTAATTTTTCTTTTCTTAATGACATGAAAATGATTGCAGGGAAAACGTTAGAGAAAATCACGAAATAGAAAGGTTTTATACGTGGAATGGGGTGGGTGCTAATGAAAATCAATCTAGGATCCTGAAAGAGGTAATAGAAAGAAACAGGTTTAAAACCTCTACTCTAGGAGGCAATTGTTACAGCCACCAGGTGAGCTCTAGGCATATACTTTTAGACCGGTATGGCATATTGTTTAACTTGTGACGACGTTATCATTAATAAAAATAATAAACTCTTTATTTTACATGGGTCAGAATTATGTCCAAAACACAAGTACATACATAATTTATTATTGGATTGTAACGTCACAAAATCCTGAAGAGCGTTACAAATAATGTAATGAATGCTTGGTGACATAATTATACTAGATTATTAAACAGAACCGATTTTCTGTCAAAGAATAACAGCTGAGAGTATAGAATTAAGTTTACTCCAATAGTTATTAATAACGTTAAAATCCACTCAAATATAACTTAGACAGTAAATTATTGAAAAGGAATACAGACAAGGTGACAAGGTTTCGCTTGTGGCCAAGACTGTGTACCCGAAGCCATATTTCATATTGTGAACTTTAACCGACTGAAAATTGGAATAGTGCAAATTGATGCTATTAGTGTCCCTGATACACATAAATTGTTTTTTAGAAAACCTCTTTACAATCTCTTTAAAGGGACAGTGCGCCATATTTTTTTGAACAATCATACTGAGCTCACCGTTGAAATTTGAGCCTTCAAATCCATGTGTGTCCAAAATTATCCGCGTTTGAATGTTTAAATGACGACTCGTTAAGATACTCTGTGATATAGAAAAGAAATATATAAAAATAGAGTATTTTTAAAGGAATTTCAAGACTAAAATCAACCCCTCAAAACGGCACATCTGTCCCTGTTAAGTCATCAGATGACATATTAGGCAAGTCCACAATATCCAGTCCCATTGTGGAACACGATTTTTCTTTGAATACCAAATTACCTTCATCAATATATTATTACCAAGCCAATTAGTACTCAAATTGCGTTCGCACATCCAATATCTTCGTAGCTGTCAGAAGAGCCATGATTATAGTAAAGTTGAGAGTTATCGATAAAGTCTGTAAGTTTTTATTTTGATTCTAATATAATATTTATGAATTGATCTGATATTAAAGAAACTGTGTACTTTCTCAACCTGCGATCGCACAACCAATGTCTTGAATGAAGTACTGACTAAACGCCGTCAGTTGTTACAAAAATAGTCACGAATAGCTGAAAGTCATCAATAAATAGGTTATTTTGATTCTAAATATTTAGAAATTGATCAGATATCAGGATCAAAATATCAGTTAAATTGAGTATTATTAGTTATAATAATTCTGATCTCTCGAGTTTTTATCAGTTAAATAATATTATTAATATCTATTCAAGATTTATTAAACACGTCCACTTCTTACATACCAATTTAATGAATTTAGGGGGAGTTTTACGAAATTTGTGGCATTAAACTAAATTTTAAGAAATTTACGTCTATATTAGCTCAACCAGGAGGACTAAGTAAGGGACAAATGGAAATCGCAATATAGTGAGCTTATGCCGCCGTCCTGAAAAATTTCTCTTATTGCATACGGTATGGTGTTGCCCGTAGTAAATAGAGAAAAAAACTTGGTATAAAATTCCATTTATATTTCTATTTACGCAACAGAAGTTGATGGTGGCGTCGAGTTCTGTGATCACATGATAATGGACAAACTACCAGTTAATACCGACATCAGATTATTCATAAGAACGTTACAACCATTTCATAACATCTTTGACATTTTTATATTTACATAAATCTGAATGTTACAACATAAAGCAAAATGTTAATGGTTTCATCTACTCTATCAAGAAACAATGAGCGCCTGCATGACTGAAAGAGTTATTTCTACCCATGCATTAACGTATCTATTACATTGAAAGTCTCTATATATCTAATATTCTCTTATATCGTTCGTGATTTGCCGCAAGATCTAATATAATGATATTACATGTATATTTATTTCAGGCTTGCTAAAAACAAAAAAATATACCTATATTGATATTATACTTATGTTTTAAAGGACATTTGAATACTCGCCAATAGTCAATATAGAGAATCCCAATTCAAAATAACGAATAGCAAACCAACTTCACAGCGTCTCCATAGAAATATGCTATATATTGTATAACGAACGGTTCCAAAGCAAGATACGTCAATTATTCACATATGTTAGGTATACCTAGAGCTATAACTCAGGAAATATTTGTCGAACTATCCCAAATTCAAACCATCTTATTTTCAGTGTAGTAAGGTATGAAATTCTGGATCCAATGGAATGATGCAGAATGATCACTTACTAATATGATAATTAAATCGTTTCAAGGATAAGATTTGGCCTGACCATTTTGCAATTTTGTTATACTTTTGACTACATAGATTTTATCTTTGATTTCAAGACAAACACGTTCGCACAGTTTGTTTCTGATGGCTACCCTGTTGTAATGGTGTAGGCTGCCGTGTCATGTTACCAATCCTCGGTAGTATTAGATATTGATGATTAGCCAAGAAGGTCAAAC